ACCCATGTCTCAACAAAACCTATTTTCTTCGCTATAATCTCCTTCCTTGGCCTCCCTCTATATTCTTGTGTCTTGATTGAATTCTTCTATGATAATTGTGTTATGTTCTTGATGATTGATAGGATGATTTATATGTTAAAAAGAAGTTCCTGATTATGATATGATAATTCTTGACGAATCTTGATATTTCTTGATGATAAAATATGTTCTTGATGATTTGGGTGGGATTAGAGCCCTAGGTTGGATTGGGAATTTGTATTGTGGTGCTCTTGATTTATATTTGGGTGGGAATTCGCATGTTCGGGTATTGTTGATATTTAGAAGTCGTAATAGGATAAGTCCTACATGATTCTTGCTTTGATCCGTTAATTGCTTACGTGATGTCATTATTTTCGTTTAAAAGTGTCTAAGCATGGTTTCGGGTTCCACGAAGGTTACCGGGACGAGTATACGAGTAAAGAGTCAGTGGGGGGCAGGTGGGGGTGGGGGAACCCACCACCTACCCGCTGCCCAAAAGGGCACTACCCGGCAGCGGGCAGCCACCGGGCAGCCGGCAACCCGCTGCCCGGAACAGTGCCCTCCGGCGGGCAGCCGGCGGGTGTCCCCACCCACCGGCTACCCGCTGGTTCGTACCCCACCCCGGGTCCTCGACTTCCCCGTTTGACGTTCCCCATTCCCCGTGGTGTCCCAACGGACCCTGTTTGTCATGTTTGAGTCTAGTTTGATGTTTCGGGTTCCACTCGTAGGCTATATGAGTCTTAGGGATTGCATGCTAGTTGAATTGATAACCCGTTGGCTTAGGTGGAAGTTGTATGAACCCTTAGGACTATTCGTAGTATGTGAATGATCACACGTAAGTTTATTTATATGTCTTTCCCCTCCCGATGTGCTATTACGTGCTCCTATGTGTTATGTGTTGCATGATCCCCCATTTTGGTTATAGGCCAACTGGGTGGTTCCCGGACTAAGGTTCAGAAATCGGTTGAAGACCGAATGGATGGTTCCCGGACTAAAGGTTCGGAAGTGGCTGAAGGCCAAATGGATTGTTCTTGAGCTAAGGCTCAGAAGTGGCTAAGGCCAAATTGATTCACTTCTTGGACTACAGGTCCAATTATGGGCCTCGGTGCTATGACCCACTGGACCTGAACGTGCCAGGACGGTGTGTAGGGCCAATAAGCCGAGGAAGGCTGTAGTCCACCGACCTGAGTAATCAGGCGGTGTGTAGGGCTACGGCTGGCTGCGATCCACCGAATGATGGGACAGCGGTATGTAGGGCCATAGTTTCCGAGGATCTTCGCCCACCGACTGAGTATAGCTCAGCGGTAAGCCGGGCTTGATCCGCTATGGTCCACCGACTGTGCGCATCGACGGTGTGTAGGGTTGTAAGTCCCCCCTTGTAAAGGGGATCGCAGTCCACCGACTGTGTGCATCAGCGGTGTGTCGGATCGTGGTCCGACGTTGAGTTCGTCAGCGGTTCTCAAAGGGTTGGTTGCGATCAACTCCCCTCGTACCGCGGTACTGAGGTAGGGTGCTGTGGGGCCGTGTTAATGCTATAAGCATTAACCCTCATGTTCGGGGCATGCGATTGGTCCCGTGGCGCCATCAATGATTATGTGATATGAATGATGATGTGTTTGGAATGGAAAAATGATTGGTGACCTGAAACATGTATTCCTGGTGATACTATCTCTACATAACTATTTATTATTTGATGTGCTTGTCCCTAATTGCTGAGTCTATTCCTGGTTTTAAAGTAGTGTCACTTAAGTATATATCTTCCTGCTTCGAAATGACTTTTCATATATCTATATATATCTATCTATAATGTATTTCAACGCGTTGGAGTGGGTTACCAGCATCTCTCGCTGAACAGATATATTTGGCTTTCAGGCACGGATGAGTAGACACTGGAGCGCGCTAGAGATTGGAAGTGTAGAGTAGGTAGTTCCCTTTCGGCCTGCGTGCCATGCTTATGTATTGACATTATTAAGGATTTTAGATAATTAGCCTGTGCACCTGAGTTCTCTAGCTCAGGTGTGGCATAGCACCCCATACTCTTATATTATACTTTTGGGAATTAATGAGAATTTACCTCTATTATATAAGTCTTAAAAATTGAAAAATTCCAGGGTGTTACAGATGGTATCAGAGCCTAAGTTTGACCCTAGGATAAGACTCTTAAGACCAGGCTTTAGAACATTAGGACTGAACTCCAGGAATTTAAGAACATAGGACTCAGGAATTTAGGACGTGCGGTGAGATTGAGAAATCTACACATGACCTCCCCTCACATTACCCCGCCCTAATTTAAATAAACTCCCTTCGCTTATCACACCGAGGTAAGGGTGCAACCCTCTAAATCACTATAAACATTGACTCTATAGATCAAGCAACATGGCACCAAACAGAAGACAATCAAGGACTCCGGAACCCACCACACACGACCACCTGGCTCAAACCCTACAGCAACTCACCCAGGTCGCCCAAGCACTAAGCGACGTAGCCCTCCGCAACAACAGGCCACCATTCCCTCCACCGAACGCAAATTCAGAAGTCGCCCGACAAGTTTCAAACCATCGACCACCCACGTTCTCAGGAGAAGAAGATCCCACCATCCTCGAAGAATGGATACGGACCTTCGACAAGATTCTAGGGTTGGTAGAATGCCCAGAAGAACGTCGTGTAGAGATAGCCTCGTTCTACTTCGGACACGCGGCAGACCTTTGGTGGATCCACGAGGGACCCACTTACAGGCAAGAACCAGGATTCAACTGGGAAAACCTGAAAACACGCCTGCGAGAACGATTCTACCCGGCACACGTAAGAGCCTCTATGCACGAAGAGTTCCTCCACCTAAAACAAGGAACGACTACCATCACGGAATACCATAAACGATTCCTCGAACTGGCACGCTTCGCGCCAGAGTTAGTCCCCACAGAATCAACAAAAATAGAAAGGTTTGTATCGGGCCTCAACTTCGAAGATCGGAAAGCACTAGTAGTAAGCGGACCCCAGACCCTCAACGAGGCTTACTCCAGTGCTGCCAACCTCTACCGAATCCAACTACTACAACGTGGGGTTCAAGATCAGATTCGAAAAAGGAACACAGGAGGAGGTACACCACCAATAAAGAGAACAAGAACCGACACCAGCACGAGGCCAAACAACCCAAATGGACAAAGACCATCCCCAAGAAACAACGAAGCCAATACAGGGGGCTTCCCTTGCCCAAAATGCAACCAAAGCCACAGGGGCAGGGACTGCATGGGGAACCCCTTACGGTGTTTCAACTGTGGGAAAGAAGGACACAAGGCCTTCCACTGCTTACAACCCTCAAGCTCACGCCCCGTGAACATGGGCCAACACGGAGGCACAAGCAACCAAGGGAATCACGGTGCCCCCGGAAAAGTATTCATCATGAGCCGCAAGCAAGCCGAACTTGGGAACGAGGGCAACCTCAACGAACAGAACATGACCCCGGAAGACGAGGACCACGCGCACCCACCAGAGGAAAACCAAGAAGACGAATTCGGTTTAGGATAGACTAAGAAACCCCTTGTAACCACCCTTGTAGAAAAACTACTTAGCTTAGCTACTCCGGAATCATTTTTAAATAAAATCAAAATATTCTAGCGTAAAAAGAAAAAATTAGACAACAAACAGACCACAAGGAGGACCAATCAAATTCCCCACCACTAGAAGACAAAAGAAGGAAAAGGACAAAAACACACAACAAAGGAAACTAATGCTACCAATGAGAATGGAACCCTAGACACCCCACTTATAAAACCAAGTTCCAAACTACTAGACTATGAGTGTCTCTTAAAACCTTAAGGGAATACTCCCTTCTTAAACCTTCACAAATCCCTAAAAATCTCAAAAACCCCCAAATCAAAAACCCTTCTTCTTCCTCACACCCCCCCCCCCCTCCCTCACTCTCTCTCTCTCTTCCACCGCACTCCCACCCCAAACCCGACAACGCCCCCACGAACCCGCCGGCCACACGCCACCATCCCGGTCGCCGCCCGTCAACCCCCATCGTCGACGACCACCTGGCCAACCCCATCGCCCCGAGACGCCGCCGTCGAGGCCCGGAGACCGCCCACGCCACACCCGGCCGCAACCCGCTTCCAGGCGACGCCACAACGCGCCCAACCGCCACCACCGTGCGCCACCCTTCCCCCTCGCCGTACGAACCCGACAGAAACACTGCACCACCACCGGATTCGCCGCCGGAGCCTCACCGGAACCCCACCTCGCCGGAAAAATCTCCGCTGCCAAGAAAACTTCGCAATGCCGAAAAAGCCCCTCGAAGTCCGCACCCCGGAATGGAGCAACGCCGAATACACCGTGATCGGAGCAAAATGTAGTTATTTCTTTTGGTCATATATTTATCGATAAAAGTTTATTTTTAGTTTTTTTTTTATTAAAACATCTTCAGATCATTTGATTCTAGTATTATTGTGGCATGATCAGTTTTAGTTGTTTATCAATAAAGTCATTGAAATGTCATTGAACACAAAAATATTTGAATTTTCTTATACAAAGCAGGATGAATCCTTATTTTTTTTATATTTATTTTTTAAAAAAAAATTCATAATTGAAGACCGAAACACCTTGTATTTAATGATATTAAAACTGTTTTGGTGATAAAAGATAAAAAAAAATTATAATACTACAATAATACTAAGATTAAAATTGAATGCCCGCACGGGTTTAACTCAATAGTTTCAGTGAACAGTATTTGAGAGAAGAGACCAAAGTTCGAACATCGACGACGATAGTGTGGGAGTCACCGTAATTTACATCCTCGCAGTGCATTAAATCAGAATTATCTCTTTTTTAAATGTATACAAATATAAAATTTCTCAAATAAATAAATCCAGGATACGCGCAAACATCTGTATATATATATATATATATACTCTACATGTTTGATCCTTCCCACGCACCCAATACATTTTCACTTTTTAGTACCTTTTCTCATCAATCCTTTCACAATGGCAAATCCTGCTTTTATAATACTCCAACTGCTTCTTATACACCTCTTTGCCTCTCCTCCAGTTTCTGCTTCCCTTTTCAACTCTACAAATACCCATTCTTTATTTTCTGCCAAAAATTTGCAAATAGCAAATGAAGTGGCTTCTCTGTTAACATGGAAGTCCAGCCTCGACCGCAAAAGCCAAAAACTATTGTCATCCTGGGTTGATGGTGGCAGTCACTGCAATTGGACTGGAATTCACTGCAACGCTGATGGAAACATTATAAGCTTGGACCTTACTGGTTTTGGCTTACGAGGTACGCTTAAGGATTTAAATTTTTCATTCTTGCCTCTTTATAAATTATTCATCTTTGTTAAAGGCACTTTTCATTGTAACATAGAAATTATTCATCTTTGTGAAATTTAATACAATAGGGTGTTTGGTAAATAGTTGTTAGCTGATTAAGAGGGTGGGTTTGACTAGTTGATGACATTAGTTAATTGTAGAAATATATTTGGTAAATTATCTTTTAGCTTGATAGATTATTACATACAAAATGACTTTTCCAAAACGCTGATTGAAAAATGTGCTTTGAGTAACTTTTTGAATTTTAGACCCTATTTGGTAATAACTGTTAGCCGATAACTGATTGGGTTAATTAGATGGTATAACTAGTTCATAGCATTAGCTGATTGGGTTAATTAGAGGGTATAACTAGTTGATAGCATTAGTTGATTGTAGAAAGGTGTTTGGTAAATTAGCTGTTAGCTGATAGCTATTTGGTATAATTTATTTTCTCAAAAAGTTAATTGAAAAAGTTGTTTGGAGTAGCTTTTTGAATTTTAGCATTTTGGAGTTACAAAAAGTTAATTAACCAAACACTTGTATTGATATTTTAATGAGTTAATACCCAAAATCGTCCTCGACTATAGTGGTTTTTCTCAATTTCGTCCTAAACGACTTTGGTGACCTAATATCGTCCCAGACTTTTGTGAATTAAAATTAACTCATTTAGCATTAAAACACTTTTGTGAATTAAAATTAACTCATTTAGCATTAAAACACTTTTGTGAATTAAAACACTTTTAGCATTCTTGTGAATCGCAGTTCACATGTTTATGAGTAAAGAGATGCCAATATTAAAATTACTAAAGTGTCTATTTATTTAACACCAAATGGACAGAATAACAAATGAGGGACTAAATTGAGCAAAAACACAAAAATCTGAGACTAAATTGAGCGAAACACAAAAGTCTGGGACGATATTAGGTCACCAAAGTCGTTTAGGACGAAATTGAGAAAAACCACTATAGTCAAGGACGATTTTGGGTATTAACTCATATTTTAATTAAATCAAACAATTAATAGTGATCAAATAAGTCAAAATTGACTGATAGACTAACTATTTACCAAACAGGGCCTTAGTGTTTTGGAGCAATAAGTTGTTACAAAAAGCTATTAATCAAACACTCATATTAGTTATTTAACCAAGTCAAACAGCTAAGAGTAGTCAAACAAACTAAAATTGGCTATAGCCTAAATATTTTACCAAACGGAGTCAATATGTTTAAAAGTAATCAATTTTAGAGTTACATTACCCAAGAAATTGGGTTTGTTAGTATGACTAGCTAGTACATTTGTCATTGTATCAAAACTCTCCCACTTTCCAAATGCTTATTTCAATTGTGAACACACAAAGCATAAAATGGTTGTTTTTTTTATGGCAACAATTTTTCAGGTCAGATTACTCCAGAAATTGGGAACTTATCAAAGTTAGTAAATTTATCTCTATCTATAAATCAATTCTATGGATCCATCCCTAAGGAATTAGGAAAATTGACATTTCTTCAAGGGTTATGGTTGTACTCAAATAACCTTAGTGGCAAAATCCCTCAACAAATTGGATTGTTAAAATTGCTAATATTGTTGGATCTTTCATCAAATGCTCTCAGTGGTCAAATCCCTCAAGAAATAGGGAACCTGCAGAACTTAAAAGTGTTGTCTCTAAACAACAACAATCTATCAGGGCAGATCCCTCAAGAAATTGGGTTGCTGATTTCGCTTGTACAAATGGATTTTCGGACAAACACTCTTACGGGTCAAATTCCTGTTTCACTTGAGAACTTAGGAGATTTGACAGCTTTATATTTTGACTATAATCATTTGTCTGGCTATATCCCTCAAGAAATAGGGAAGTTGTCAAAGTTGGTAAATTTTTCTTTACTTGAAAATCAAGTCTATGACCAAATTCCAGCTTCAATTGGTAACTTACAAAACTTAAAATTCTTGGTCCTTTTTCGCAACAATTTATCTGGCCATATCCCTCAACAAATTGGATTATTAAAATCCCTTGTGTATTTGGATCTTTCATCAAATGCTCTCTTTGGTCAAATCCCTCCAGAAATAGGGAACTTGTCAATGTTGGTACACTTAAATCTATACAAAAACCAGCTCCGTGGATCCATTCCTAAGGAGTTAGGAAAGTTGAAATCTCTTCAAAGGCTAATATTGCTTTCAAATAACCTTGTTGGTCAAATTCCAGTTGAGTTCAACAATCTCACTAATTTGAGGAGTTTTCAAATTGGCAGTAATCATCTCACTGGATCTTTGCCTGAGAATATATGTTTTGGCCAGTCACTTGAAAAATTATCTATTGCAAACAACGAATTTAGTGGAAAGATTCCTAAAAGTCTCAAGAATTGTACAAGCCTTAATAGAGTTAGGCTTGACGGAAATGAGATTTATGGAGATGTATCAAAAGATTTTGGGATATATCCAAACCTAAATTACATAGATTTGAGTTATAATAACTTACACGGCCAATTATCTTCAAATTGGGGTCTTTGTCCAACACTTACTGCTTTGAAGATGTCGGGCAATAGAATTTCTGGAAATATCCCACTTGACCTTGTCAATGCATCTCAACTACAGTTTCTTGATCTCTCATCAAATCAGTTGGTTGGAAAGATTCCCACAACTTTGGGAAAGCTGAGATTGTTGTATATGCTAAAGTTAGATAATAACAAACTTACTGGCAAAATACCACTAGAAGTTGGGGAACTATATTTGCTTTCAGAGCTAAACTTAGCTTCAAATATGTTTGTTGGCTCAATTCCCCCACAAATTGGAAGATGCCAACACCTAATCACATTGAATCTGAGCAGAAATATGCTTGTGGGCAAGATTCCTCTTGATATGCTAAGCTTGAAATCCCTTGAAAATCTCAGTCTCAGTCACAACATGCTCTCTGATCAGATACCTCCACAAGTTGGAGGATTAACCAATTTAAACACCATGGACTTATCTCACAATAATTTTTCAGGCTCCATCCCATCAAGCATTGCTCAATGTGCAGCTTTAGTTTCTGTTGATATATCTTACAATCTGTTGGAAGGCCCTATCCCTAACACTAAAGCATTTCTACAAGCACCATATGCTGCCTTGAGTAATAACAAAGGGTTATGTGGCAATCATTCTGGCATAAAGCCTTGCTCTCCACACAGTCAAATTGATAGCAAGAATAGAAATTTGGTAGTAATTATATCAGTAGTCTTGGGAAGTTTGTTTCTATTGACCGTGGTTATTATAGTTCTTTTAGTCTTTCGACGACCCATGAGAAATACAGTGGAGGAGCGTAGAGACTTTACAAAAGATTTGTTCACAATATGGAGCTTTGATGGAAAAATGACATATGAAAGCATTATTGAAGCAACAGGGAACTTCGACTCCAGTTATTGCATTGGTGTAGGAGGGCATGGAAGTGTGTTTAGGGCCGAGCTACCTAGTGGTCAGATTGTTGCCGTGAAGAAGTTTCATACATTAGGCATGCAAGATGATGAAAGGTGGCATGATCTCAAAAGTTTTTCAAATGAGATAAGCACATTAACAAATTTGAGGCATCGAAATATTGTGAAGCTCTATGGCTTTTGTTCTCACAATAGACATTCATTCTTGATTTATGAGTATTTACAAGGGGGGAGTCTAGCACAAATTTTGAGTGATGATGAGAAAGCACTCCAGTTGGGATGGTTGGAAAGGATAAATGTGGTCAAAGCTGTAGCTAAAGCTTTATCGTACATGCACCATGATTGTTTACCTCCTATTATTCATCGGGACATATCAAGCAACAATGTTCTGTTCGATTCTGAGCATGAAGCTCATGTTTCCGATTTCGGGACAGCAAGATTTTTGAGCCTTGATTCATCAAATTGGACTTCAATTGCTGGAACCATGGGATATACAGCTCCGGGTCTGCACCATTATATTTTTTTTTCTTGTTATTCTCTTCCCCTTTTGACCTTATATATGGTCTAATATAATTGGTATTTATTTGCAGAGTTTGCTTACACTGCAGAGGTAAACTGCAAATGTGATGTGTATAGCTTTGGAGTGGTAACACTTGAAGTGATTATGGGGAAACATCCTGGAGACCTCATTACATGCCTTTCTTCATCCTCGTTTTCAGCAATTGATGGCATGCTTTTTAAGGATCTGTTAGATCCTCGAGTACCTACTCCAAAAAGAAATGTCATGCAACAACTCGTTTTGGTTGCAAAGATAGCAGTATCTTGTTTGAATTCCAATCCACAATATCGGCCAACTATGCAACAAGTTTCTATGTTGCTATCCAAGGAAAGGGATTTTCCAAATTTTTCTCTTGATATCACCTTAAGCCAGTTGTTTGGTCTTGAATTTCCAAATCCATAAATTTTTACACTATTCAAGGTATGTTCATACTAAACTATCATGTTATCCCTATCTATTTGAGTTATATATAGGGCTTAGCTTCCTACATTTGTTGTTTTTTTCTAAAACCATGGCTATTTACTGGACATTGCAGTTTGGAACAATGTATGTGGTTTTAACATGAGGATGCATATGGAAGTAGGCAATCTTGGAACCCGTACATAGATCGATCATAAACAAATGGTATCAAACTGCCAGTCAAACAAGGTCGCATTCAATTTGCAATGCCCTCTCATGTTGATTATAGAATCTAATTAATAATATTAGCTATTTCTTGATTTATGAGTTTTTTTTATCATCTCTTGCATGTCTATAACATATTTGCTTTTACAGATTGACAATGGACATCGCTAAGATGGATGCAGGAGATGCATCATTCACTGCACTGCTGTTTTCAAGTTTCTCAGTTGCTTCTATACCCAAGGAAAGAGATCACAATAAGGCAGACAGTTGAATTGCTTCGTCTGAAATTTCCTACTATACACCATTGAAAGTAAGTTATCCTAAACAAGTTTTATCACTATCATCTATGCTATTTGTGATATGTGAATGCTATGAATTGTGATTATGGTTATTAGTTTTACTTAATTAAAGATCTGTTTTGAATAAACAAAATGCAAAAGGTTGTTGATCTGATCTACTGGACTAGTTTGGTTGTATTATGGTATTTTCTTTGTATAATTATCTTCAATACCCAATTTAGTAGCTTAATCTTTCGCTGCTTGATTTTCAAGTGATGAATTTGTCAAAGTTTATATAAATCATGGGAAAACAAATCTACCTGCAAATCCATATATGGGCACTGGTCAACTTCATTACCCTCATATCATATATACTTGCTGATTGAAAATATATGTGAATTGAAAATGGAGTTTGCTTTACCCTTATGCATGTGTTTTCTTCAGATTGGTATACTGTAAACTATAGGGAGTGATATGACCAGTGCTAAGTACTCCTTCGACTCCTACTCCACATTGGCTGATATGGCACAAGAAATTGTGAAAATAAATAGTCCTTTATGCTATTGGCAAGTGGTGAGTAAGTATTCGATCTTGTAATGAATTGTTAGGACAAATGATGATTTCTACTTGGTGGAAAACAAAAACTACTGATCAGGTTTTGGGTTCAAGTCTTCATTTCTACTCTTCTTAATTTACCAACACACACACGCATTTAAAGATTCCAGTACTGCTATCTTAACTTGTTGCCTTGTTGGCTTGTATTGAAGGTATAAGATGGAGTTGTGATTGAAGATGGTGAGTATGAAGGACAAGAATGAATGTGAGCTGGCCGGTGCACCACCATATGGCTTGAGCTAGCTTCAACGTTTTATATATACTGAGTAGTATTCAGGATAAGCGTACGTGTGCAAAGAAAGAGTCCTTGACTAGCATCTATATATTTAAGTTTGCTTTCATCTAAAACTATGTGCATTTACTGGAAATTGCAGTTTGGAAGAAAGAAGTAAGCAATGTGGAACCTCTTAGCTTGTTGTGAACAAATTGTTATGAATTGCAATTAATGAAGGTGGTAAGACCTATTATTCATGTTGATTTTAAAACCTAATCATCTTAGATATATCTTGAGTTGTGATCGAGTTTTTACTCATCTCTTGCATGTCTATATATAATTTTTCATATTTTCAGTGATAACATTATATTTTTGCATTTACAGACAATGTACAATTGTAAGATGGATGCAAGAGATGCATCCTTCGCTTCACTGCTCCTTTGAAGCTTGTTGCGGATACATCCATGCCTGCCTGCCTGCTACCACATTGGAAATAAACGGCTCTCGACTTTGAAAACGTTCTAACCATTTGCCCAGGGGAGGCCATAGTAGGGAGCATCACTGTTTCACATAGCAACAACAATCATCTTCACTTGGATATAATGGCGGTTGTCGTCATTGCATTGTGTCCAGAACTCAATATTACAGAATGCGGTGACAGCATGTGATGTGATGGCTTGATAGATCTTAAGGATTACATGGTATTTGACTATTTGTTGGTTTAAGAACACTTCTTTTCCTCTCTATACAAAGTTGAACGAACAACTTTGTCTCTGCTCTCTTAACAATGATCAAGGATTACATGCTATTTAATTTTCTGGTGCAATTTTGCAGTCATTCAAAATCTTTTTTTTTTTTTAAATTTGTAATTAAGGAATATGCAAATGTGTTTGTAAACATTCAACTGTAGATTGGCCACTAGAGTTCAGCTTTACTGGACTTAGGCTTCTGTAGTTGTTCCTTTTTTTTTTTTTTTCCTAACCACTTGGTTGCATCTTTAATTCCTTTGATAATCCTCTGCTTCCAATCCATCTCCATAGTTTGTTTTCCTTTAAGAACTTTACCCTGCAACAAAATTCTGAATTCTCAGTTTTTGTTCTTCTGCAAAGTTTGATTAATAAGAATAAAGAGATTTCAGATTTGTGTTTACCAAATCTTCTTCTGCATCTTCATCACCGAATTGAAGTTTTGGTTCATCAGATCTTCCCTGGAGTACATTTTCATGCCAGTTAAGGTGCTCCCGGCATACCCTGAAGGAACAACATATTGATATAGAGCATTCATATTCATAGGCTTAATGGAGCAATGAAGAACGTGATACAAGTTAGGCTCCATTTCTGCCTCTTTTGAGGATTTTGGAACAAATGGTTCTCCGGTGACTATTTCTTGATTTCCATATGAGTTTTTTAATACCTTAGAATGAAGATAACTTATCATCGCTTGTCGTGTTCTCTATCCTGTATTTCTTGATTTCGATCTGAGTTTTTAATTTGACAATGGACAGACATCTCTAATATAAGATGGATGCAGGAGGACTGGAGATGCATCATTCACTGCACTGTACTGCTGTTTTCAAGTACGCTTCTATGATCTGTTGCGTCTATATCATATCTAAGGAAAGAGATCACAATAATAAGGCACCATGCAGACAGTTGTTTCAATTCGTCTGAAATTTCCTAATATATATATATATATATATATATATATATATATATATATATATATATAGAGAGAGAGAGAGAGAGGGGCACTCAGGTGCGAATAAGTGCCCAGGAAGAAAATGCGAACGAATCAGCGCGCGACACGTGTCCAGATCTAATAACTTAAAAAAAAAACGCGGTTGCATTTTCGTAAATAATTGAACATCGAAGTGCAAGTAAAATCTCTTATAAGTGCACCTATTTTCACCTATAAGTGCATGTAATTTTGCCTTGTTAGCATTCACTTTCTGCAACCATTCATGCACCTGGGTGTGCTTATAACTATAGGTGCAACTACTTATAACTATAGGTGCAACTACTTATAACTATAGATGCAACTACTTTCACCTATAAGTACATGTAATTTTGCCTTGTTAACATTCATTGATATGAGTTTAGCGGGTAGTAATACTCCTGAAAACCACTCGCAAACATTCATACACCTAGATGCAACTACTTATACCTATGTGTGCAACTACTTAGAACTATAGGTGCAACTACTTAGAACTATAAGTGCAACTAAGTATTGATGCTTAGTGTAAATTTTTACTTGCACCTATAATACATTTTACATGCACTTGTAATACATTTTACTTGCACTTCGATGTTCAATTATTTACGAAAATGCCACCGTGTTTTTTAAAAAAATCAATGTTTCTCATTCATTAGATCTGGACACGTGAACGAACAGAATCCATTCCTATTTCGCGCCTAGGCGAACCGCTCGCACCCGAGTGCAAGTCTATATATATATATATATATATATATATATATATACTCCATGAATTTTATTTGTATATAAAAGTGTTAATTTCATTTTTGGTCCTAGATTTATAGGTGGTAGTTCACTTTTAATCCATTTTTATTAGAACATTCTCATTTGGTCTTAGTATTGTTGTGGCATTACCATTTTTGGTCTTCCGTTAACAAAATCATTAAAATGCTATTAAATACAAGGACATTTCGATCTTTTTATACAAAATAGGATGACCCACTATATTTTTTTATGTTTAATTTTTAAAAAATAAAAATTGAAGATTGAAATGCTCTTGTATTTGACGAAATTTAAACTGTTTTTTTTATGGAGGACAAAAAATGATCATGCCACAGTAATACTAGAATCAAAAATTGATATTTTGAAGAAAGAAAGGACTAAAAATAAAATGTCACATATAAATCTAGGACCAAAATTGAAATTAACTTATCTTCAATGTCTAATTTAGTAGCTCAATCTTTAGCTGCTTGATTTTCAAGTGACGAATTGATCAAAGTAGTTGATGGATTTAATTAACCCGGGGTGGACCCGAATCAATAAATATGGATAAGAACCTAATATAAATAATATAGAATGATATAGCAAAAGGCCGTGAGACCGTATATTATATTAATTGCCGTAGGAATTGGCTATTACAAAGATTCGGTAAGACAAAGTGTGTAATAAGTGTAGAATGTAGATAGAATGCCCATTGTCGGGGGATGGTTAGATCACTACTTTGACCGGGCCCGGGTGGACCGGGTCAGGTCGGGTCTCGAGCTCGGGTGGTGCCGAGCTCGATTGATATCGAGCTACCCTACCCGAGCCCGCCATGGGCCGAGCTCGGGTAGGGTCGTGCCATCCGACCTGAGCCCCACGTGGCTCGGCTCGGGTTAGGGCACTTCCGTGGTGCCCCGGGTCCGTGTTGCTCTTGGGTTCTAATGTGGTGTCCCAGGTCCGCGTTGCTCTTGGACTCCACTGTGATGCTCCGGATCGGATCGTGGGTATAATATATCCATCAGTAGTCAAAGGGTTTATATATATAAATCATGGGAAATAATATCAGCCTGCAAATCTGCAATGCCATCCATATATTGGTACGTACGTACTTGTCAACTTCATTACTACATACAATAAATACTTTGCCCCGTATACGTGCATTAGCACGTCTTAAGTCATCTAACAATAATATGTTACCTATTATCATGTTGTTGTTTGTGTCCGTTGGCCTATAGCTCCTAACCGGTGAGTTTCAGGATTGAATCAACAATAAGAAGTAATAGACAAAGAGAAGGGAGTGATATGATTTCATTTTCATGGCCTTCTCTTACAAAAGGATTACACACATATATAATATAGAATAATAATGGCATACATAAAGAGACATTAATATGTCTGTTACAAACGTTACAAAATAATGGCCACCATTAATATTTAATTACAACACTCCCCCTTGGACATTATTTGTCCATGACCTTGCCTCGTTAAAAACTTGCTAGGAAAACCATGTGGGAAAAACCTATACAAGAAAAGAGTACAAGGTAAAGTATATTTAAAAATATTCATGCCTCGTTAAAAACTTCACTAGGAAAACTACATGGAAAAACCTAGTTTGAAGAAAAGAATACATGATATTTGTAAACTCATATATTGTACTGATTGCCTCGTTAAAAACCTTAACTTAAGAAAACCTCGTGGGAAAAACTTAGTTAAGGGGAAAAAGAGCACAATTATAAGCCTTCAAGGCATAATCTTCAGGATATTTGGGGTTTGTTTACTTAAGTGTTTATATACAACTTCCCCACATACTCATACCTCATTAAAAACCACATGGTATGTATATGCTGCAAAAAGTATAACTATTAGTCATTTTAAGACTCAAACTACAGGATTGACTCAATTGAATATATACGCTGCAAAAAGTGCAACTATTAGTCTTTTTAAGACCCAATCTACGGGATTGACTCGAGTGAATGTACTTCCTGTCTCCCCTTGAAGATAACAATCTTCAAATTCTACATTGCCTGTAAAATCATTGTTTCTAAAGGGTGTAGAGAAGGGATGTGGTACAATTTTCAGGATTGTCATTAGAATTTATCATATTTTCTCATGATCATCTGGACCAATAAAATTATTTATAGTTTATATTTTGTTGCTCCCCCTAAATATAATAATTTTTCTTTATCTACACATATCAATCTTATGGATATTTTGTAGGTATATATTTGCTAACTTGTCACTGGAGCAAACCTTCTGAACAAATATTTTATCACTCTTCTGGAGTTCATGTGGATCAAGGTATTTTATATCATGAAAAACTATATACGTTTTTATCTGTAACAAGTATGATGACTTCATGCCAAAAAGCATCAATACGAGTATTTGTACCTTGATTTACTATTCGTTATCTTATCTTATAACTTAACATCATCAAGCTCTTTACATATTTCATTGATGTTTACACCATAAATGTTGACTGAGATAATAAATAAGTCCATTATCAACTCCTTATTGAGCATATAGTGGTACATATTATTCCTTCTATATGAGGATAATAACCCCATTCGCAACTCTTTAAAGAGTAAATAATGACACATAAATAAATCCTCATTTCGGGAATTATAAATTCATTAGGGATTTTTCAAGATAAACTAGAGGATATATTTAGGATATTTTCAAGAGGAAACAATATTTAAGTTTCCTAATCACATATAACATTACTAGGGCCACTAGGCATGTTTATGATAATATGTTTTCATACTTTGTTATGTGGGAGTAAATACCTTTAGTCAATTTATTATTGACTATAAGAAAGATCATAGTTAGTAATTTACTAACTTTTATACTTCTTATTTTGTGATTTTCATTCATCACATTTTGAGAAAATCCATCAAGAATTTTAAATATAAGTAACAAGTTACCCATATAAATATGTTATAACTATAACTATTAGCTACATATCTAATTTATTTACTGCTAGTTTTATTGAATAGCGGAATATAAAGCCATGAGTAATATTGGGTCTCTGCGAAAACCCTCAACTCGCCTTTTATTAGCGAGTTTTGATTTGTATGCCTTAATTGCTCTTTTCTATCAAAACAGTTAGCACGCTGCAGACGTTATGCTACTGTTTTCATTT